ACATTAACATGATGTGTATCGGACTTCCGCGACACAGACCGATGTCATAACATGTTACGAGATGCGACAACTCTTAAATAATTCATGTGACAACAGTAATGTTTGCTTGAATGGTCACCACTAAAAGTTGAGACCTATGCAGATTGACTAACAACAAATCTTAAACATTAGAATTAACCGAAGTGATACAATATTGTTTAAATCTAACCAACATTTATCAATAAAACTACTAAAATAAAGTATAATATACTACTTAATGGTTTTTGTTTATGTCAAAAAAAATTAAACAAACCACATTTTCGACAAGCTGTCAATTTTACATGCGAAGAAACAAACAACATATCTGTTGTAAATACAAATGAAATTGAAAAAAATGTCTCAAGTCTATAGTTTACGTGTTATGCCTACTGCAAATATATTTCATAGAAAGCGAAAACTAGAGACGGCCTGCTTCAATACGAGTATGTAACGTTATGTGCTTTAGGAAGCACATTACGAGGGATTCGGTCATATTGTTTGAAGACAAGCACATACTTAGATTAGGTAACAACTTATTAAGAACATTACGGTACGTGGAATACATACATCTTACTCTTTAGCGATAGCCAAATTATGCAATTAATGTTAGTTGTTTTTATATGAGATATCTGTACAGTTAAAAATACAGAACATTTAAGAAAAACAGATAAAACCGAGGAATTATTATCGCAAGAGTAATAAATACATTTCTCTAATACCTACGAGAGAAATTAAAAACCTCAACCTATTATGAAAAATTATTTAATTACTTAATTATTTAAAGTTATTTTCTATTGTTTTCTTGGGCTGTAAATATTTTTTAGATGATCTATAAAACATTTTGAAAACCATAATCTCTTATTTAATATTTCATAGAAACAATAAAATAAGTTCAAGTTAATTCTTGTATTTTTATTCTAAAAATTAAGTAGCGATAAATTAACGTATTCCGTACATCTTCCTTCCTGATAATTACCAGACACGAACGACTCTAGCGCCATCTATTTTTTTGCATACAAAACGTAGCTCATTTGAATATACGGTATTCGATTCCGGTGCCACTTTCTATTGCGTTGATTTATTGCATTTTAATATGCATTGCGCTCGAAACATTCGGTTGTAAATGGGTTTATCAACAAATTGTTGACAAGAATATTAATATTATTTGACATTAATTTATGAAAAATACATATTTGAAAAATCTTAAATAATATATTGTTAATTTATTCATTCAACAAGTTACATATTAAACGTTGCTGTTTGAATATCTTATTTAACATATGAAAATAATGTTTCAGAATGCGGCGTGTCCTTGAGGAGGCACACAAGACAACCTAGAGACAGGTCCGCTGGCCAGCTGCGCATCATCAGAGGCAGGGAATCCAAGAGAGGCGCGTGGCCATGGCAGGTTAGATTATAATCTGTTATAAGATTATATGTCTGTTATCTACTATAACCAATTAATTAATAGTAAAGTAATATCAAGTACTTCGGCTACAACTAAATTGAGGAATTTTGTAGGTTTCGCTGCAATTGCTGCATCCCAACTACGGCCTGATCGGACACTGGTGCGGCGGAGTGCTTATACACCCGCTATGGTTGCTCACCACCGCGCACTGCATACACAAGTAAATATATCAAGTTTTAAAGAAAGGGGATAGAAAGAAGAAGTAGGGGAGAGAGAGAAAGAGTAGAAATATGTTTCTAGTCTTTTTAAACAGCGATGTTCAGGGGCCTTTTCATCTATTTACGTCTATTACACTCTTCGTTTATAAGAATTTGTACTCGAAGGTCATTAGAATACTATATTGCATTTGCTTAAGTATGTCTTCCCAATTCCAGTGAGCTGTTCAACTTGCCAGTGGCGGCGCTGTGGACCGCGGTCCTTGGGGAGTGGGACCGCGCTGAACAGAAAGGCTCATTCGTGCCTATTGAGAAAATAATACTGCATCATCGCTTCCATAACTATCAACATGATATAGGTAATTTCTATAGTTCGTTCTATCTAAAACACTATAAATTCATCATGCGAAATGTTCACAACTTGTTGTCTATACTATGCTTACTTAGTAAATTTTTTTTTCTGGTTATAGCTTTAATGAAAATGACAAGAGCGGCTGATGTTAGTCCTGGAAGCAGGATCCGTACAATCTGTTTGCCTTCATACGAGTCACCTCTAGCTAACTACAGCCCTGAGAAAGGCACATCATTCTACGTAAGATCCAACTCGGAGTACACAAAAAGAAAATCAGTGAAACGTCCCAAACCGAATCCAGATACAGCATCGAAGTATTTGGAGAAACTTAACAATTTGACTAAAATTATGTTCCCAGGATATTCTAACAAGAAACATAAGAATTTGAGATATAATATACGAGTATCTAATAATTCTAATAGACAACCAGACAAAAAGAGCGACGATGAAGACAATCCTAACATTGATATGAAAAACAGGGATATTGTCTACGATAGAGTAACACTAGATAGTGTAGTAAAACTAATACAAACTAACATCAACGAAGGAGATACAAATAATAACGAAAGAAGTGATAAAAAGCTAATGTTCGGTGAAGAAATAGATCCATTTATTGAAGAGGACAACGGAATTGACATGAAAGACGAATGTTATACCACTGGATGGGGTCGAGATCAAACTAACGGTTCTTTAACAGATGTGTTATTAGAAGCAGAGGTACCAGTACTGCCTCTGAACATTTGTAGAGACAGGTACTCTCTATCTTTGCCGTTGAATGAAGGGCACTTGTGTGCAGGGAGTACTGATGGAAGCACTGGTGCTTGTGTGGTGAGTATTACTTGATATTTTAGTAGAAAGCGCGCACACAACTTTGATTTAAAATCGAGTAGTGTGCTCACCTCCATAAAGCTCATACATAAGAATCAACGCCAGACTAAACAGTTATGCGATAGTTTAGTCAGAGGTGTACACGCGCTCTAAATCTCTTAGAAAAAACTAAGGACGAGTTCTATCAGTGAACAGAAAAAGAAAAGAAGTTAAATATATCAAATATTATTGTTATCATTAACAATACCCCTTTATAAGACTGACCTAAGGTATAAAAACATGACTGCAATCAAATAAACACTATGAGTCTTCAAGTTGTAACATTTAATCTATGAACGATCTAATTGTCTGGATAAAAGATTGACAAGTGAGATCTGGTTAGGCATTTGGCAATTTGGATCGATGCATTCCTTTCTTTTTGTTTCATTTCAGATCTTAGATAAAGCGGTGAATCAGCATTCACTTCTAATGTTCTGTTTATCTACACGTCTATATTCAAATTATGATCAATAGCGTATTGTTTGATTAATTTCTAATTAGGCAACTCTGTTTGTTTAATTAATTATATCCAAATTATTTCAAAAGGATTTCATTTAAAACATTGATTTAGAAAATATACATCGTCTTTTGTCTTTTTATGTCTTATCACAAATTGGACATATTATGAAAAAAATGAAGATCGCATTAACAAGAATGTATTAGGATGGAATGTGTATTGCTACAAAGGTAGAAAAAGACCGAAGTAAGATTATGTACAAGAGAGTGAATTCAGATAAGACACCTGATTTGAAAGAGCTGTACACACTGTGTCGTCTCTCCTTAGGGACAAAAGCAGGTTGATAATGATGTCTCATGATGATTTCAACTCAATAAAATTTTATGAAAATTAGTTTAAGATATTCTGTAGATTGACTTATATATGCTCTTCTATTGAATATCCATGTACTTAACGTTACTTATCTGTTTGTTTCCAGGGCGACAGCGGTGGTCCCCTTCAGTGTAGATCGGGTGGGTCGGGCGGCCGCTCCGGAGGTCGATGGGAGCTACGGGGTCTGACGTCATTTGGCTCGGGCTGTGCTCGCCGCGGCGTGCCCGACGTCTATACCAACGTTGCACACTACATCGCATGGATATATACGCATATATACGCTAGTTAATACTATTAATAGTAGACTATTAGGATTATATTGTCGACTTTAGACTGTTAACCCAAAATATTTGAAATTCTGTCGTATTTTTTATGGTTAAAGAGAGAACAAAGAAACCCTGAATAATAATAATGTTACTAGATAATTCTTATGACAATTATTAATTTGAACTTTAGTATAAGTAGCCTAATTAATTATAAGGACTATGTGATAATAATTATTATACTTACTTTGTAATCATACAAATATTATAAATGCGAAAGTTACAATGGATGGATGGATGTTTGTTAGAGTTTGTAGCCTGAACGGCTGAACGGATCTCCATGAAATTTGGCCCAAGTTTAGAGCATAATCTGGAAGAACACATAGGCTACTTTTTATCCTGGGAATAGTTACGGTTTCCGTAGAAGTCATTAATTCAGTTTTTTAATGTTTACTTTATCATTCTGCCACGGTTCAACATATCTTATTGAATTCTGGCACAGACGTAAAACAAAGTCTGCAGTACAAATGGGATAAAGTTCATCATCGAGAAATGTCCAGTTCCCGAGGGATACGTAGCTTTTTGTTATTTATATAGTTCGTATGTTTCCTAATACCAAGCGGACGAAGTCGCGGGCAACAGCTAGTTGTATGATACATAAAAAATTATCGAAGCCGGATCTACCCAGCAATAAGTTAAGCTAAGAGAAAAAAAGTTTTAAGTATTACTAATGTCTTTTTAACGTTTGTGTATTATTTATTGTTTTATTATTTAAATAAGTTTTACTTAAAAGCTGTAAGTTACCTGTAATATGTTAATCTAGTCTTAATTGTATAAATGTAAATGATTGATGTAATAAATGTAAATTGTTAGGTAAATATTTAAATATGATAATTTATATTGTAAAAACAATAGTTTAGATGGGAATAGCCCACATCATTTAACGTTTTAATAATGTCAGTTATTTTATGTTAATATTGGAAATACGTAACTATTAAAATTATTAAACTAATCAATTATTTTGCACGACATTTGTTAGTATGGAAAAAAATATGTTTTCGATCAAATATTTATTTCATTCTTTAATAATTAAATAAGAAGTGTATTATAAATAAATAAAAAACGTATTAAATAAAATTTATAAAACTTTTATTACATTCACCGTCAGTCTATTTACAAAATTTACAATTAAAATAACTTAACTATTTTTAATAATAATATCACATTTTTAATTAAGATCTTAAATTATAGATAATAGTATATAGCTGGAAAACAGTTGTCGCAACTACTGCTATTTATCAGCTATTTTAATAACAGTTGACAATAACGGTTACATAGGACTCAATCATATGAGTTTCACAATTTTATTTCTTATCGTTAAATGCATACATAAACCATAAAATTAATACCAAATTATTTATGATATAAAACTTGTAAACGTAATTTAAATATTACATAAAAATTATCAAAAAGGGAAGACATTGGTAATAATTTGAACGTTAAAAATATTTCAAATTGTTGCTGATTTACTTCACAAATAGATTAATATATTTCGTACAATACTTGTGTATTAATAAATAAATTGGCATATTACATGTTAATATCATAATAAGTTAATAACATTATAATATAATAATACTCCATACTTTTCTAAACATATACATATTTACAAATAAATTGAGCAAAAGTTTCATCTAGTGAGATAAGTCAAGGAACATATAAACATTAATTTTCACACCCAAAAATTATAGTTTTAAACGATACGATAACGGACAGAAATTGGCAATTTGTTGGCAAACGAAATTTAGTAATACTAGGAATCAATTTTAAACTACATAAGCGTAAAGCCTCATCTAAAAAACGCAATAAAAAAAAACAATATTAACTATTACACTTGTAGTAAAAAACAAAAATCTATGCATTTAAAACGGATTTTGATGCATCTTTTTAATATACAAAGTGATCGTAATAATCAGCTGTTTAAAAGGAGGAAACTGCAGTAACAGTTACTTCATTTACATCAGTAGAAACGCTGAAATAATTCGAGTTTTAAAATTGTAAAATTACAAAATGACGTCATACAGCTTGTATTCAGGAGTCAACAAGTAAATCCGGTAAATCCCCATCTTCTTCTGTGATAGCTAGCAGTGAGACTGCCTCCTTAGCTAAATCATCATCGTCTTTGAATGCAGAATTATCAGACATGTTTAAAATAATACTGCTTCTACGTCTTTCAGTACTCTTCCTTCTTACTTTAGGTTTCTCTTGTTGCTGGATCAATTTGTATCTCGGCTTCCATATTCTGTACCCGCCTTGGATCGCGAAGAATGTACCAATGATGAAGAGAAGTAGTTGAACTGTGAGCACTATTGGTGGGGCGATGACGAAACGAAGACGTAATAATTGGATTACTTCTGGAGGTGCCTCTTTGCAATACTGAAAGAGAATACGTACTAAATTTAAAAACGAATTAAAAACTTTATTTATAGGTTTCTGAAGTTAACATTTTATCATTTCCTAGTGATTCCTTAGTGTTCAATTGAGCTAAGTTTTCACGGAGTAAAACTCATATTACGTAGAAAGGAAACGCATTTCAAGATGTTATCGAATCAACAACTAACGAATGGTTAAATATAGCTTGGAAACAAGCCATAAATCATTGATGAAGTGAACGAAGTAGTTTTCGAAGTATCTAGAAGAAGGCGAAGTATTCCGCGTAACTTTGCGCTTTATAAACTCCCGTTATATTTTCTTGCACTTCAAGGTCATGGGCGTGATCATATCTAAATATTATTGTTGATACATATATTAGAGAATAAGGGTCTGTCCCATTACTGGCCAATAGAGCCTCAGATAGCTTAAAAATGACGTCACTGTCAGATAAGGGAACAAAATCCGATATTTTCATCACATATTTTAAACGTTGAATGGTTATCAGACAATTTACAATTTGGTGGGACAGGTCCTAAATATGCAATTTTAAATTTAATCTCAGATTGCATTTGCATTTGTCTAATTGTCATGAATAAGGTCAAGGTTAGAATGACAATGGCTTTAATTCTAAAACTAAATTCTTTAAACGCAATTTATTTGCCTTGTAAGAAATTAAAATTGAAGGTTTCCTTTTGTTTGCTGATATTACAAAAATTGTAAAATGAACAATATCTAAATATTGTTTTTTGTTTATTTTCCAATTATATACATTTCTGTTATCATAGTTAACTAATTTGCCTATTAGAAGAAACAAATTTTATAAATAGACATGAAATAAATCATTTGTAAACGATTAATTCAAGACGCAAGGTCAATTAATACCGATTAATTTGAACTAAACAAGCCTTCGAGACTACAGAGTTCCTAAGCATTGTCACTTCACTAGACATAGTCAAAGAATTTAATTCACTTCCCACTTTCGATAGAATATCGTGCAATCATCATAAAAGTAGTCATCGACTGCACAAGAGACTTACGGTCGATTACAGAAACGACATTTAAAATAAAACAGCATCTTAAATAAAAAGGCCACGCTCAGGCGGTTAAACTTAAAATGCTACTAGCTTTCGCCCGCGACGCCGTCCGCGTGGAATTAAAAAATACAAAAGTGAGTAGCCTATGTGTTCTTCGAGACTATCCTCTACATCTATACCAAATTTCATCGAGATCCGTTCAGCCGTTTAGGCTACAAACTCTAACAAACATCCATCTAAACTTTCGCATTTATAGTATTAGCATGATTAAGATTTTTACGTCTGTCCGATTGTAAGCTGTGGTCGCGAAGCGTTAAAATTCGTTTAATTATTCGACAAGTAGGTGTATTCCCACAGATATTTCTAAAACAGAGGTAACTATTTCTTTAATTTATATTTATAGTTAAAACCCGATTTATAGATAAGTAACGTGAAAGATGAGTTAATTTCTGACGCATCGCATTATTGTCTGACATCTAAGAAGATAAATTTACAATATAGTATTATTTCTTAGTAAATTGAAATTCTAAGAAAACTAAAACAAATGACACAATCAAATGAAATATAATAACAATGAGTAGTTAATGATTAAAGTTTAATTTAAGCTTACAGAATAAGCGCTTTGTCATGTAAATCATGTTTCTAGGCTTACCAATGATATCCTCATGATAGGTAGGACTTTGTCCTTCACAGGTTTAGTGATGGGATTCCCCGCAGAAGTCCGGACTGCCACGTTTATCTGAACGTTGATGGAGAGGGCCAGAGGTACTCCAACTGTCTGGAAAGAGCATGGGCTTTTAAGTTATTTTACTTATATCATCATATTTATCTTACTTCTAATTTATATAAATGCTAAATTTTAGATAAATGTATGTTCAGAGTTTGTAACCAAAACTGCTGAACGGATCTGGATGACATTTAGCTTACATGTAGAGGATATTTTGGAAGAACACTTAGGCAACTCAATTTTGTTTATTTTTATTTCCAAGCGAACAGATTCGCGGGCGAAAGCTACTACAAAAATAATTCTTGAAATTAAGTGATATTTTATCGAAAAAAATGTAACTAAAAGTTTAAAAATTACCGGTTCAACGTCAAGTTGTGAATAATACTTTTCCGGTTCAGGATTCATGCCTTCGAAGTACGTCTTCTGTTGTTCATCGACGGCCACGTAGTGAGGCTTTGATAACGCTATGGGGAAACCTGGGACAAAATCGTATCGAATTAATTTCAATTTATGTACGTAATAATACCCTACACACATCTGTTGTGCGATTGTCTCATCATCCACTTGCCCTTATCCCTTATGGAGGGCCGGTACAGTATGTGCTGCTTCCATACATCTCTATCAGCCGTCATATCTGAATCCACTCCTTTCTTAAGCATATCCTCTTTCACACAATCCATCCATACTTTCTTCGATCTTCCTCTTCCTTTGTAGCCATCCACATTCAATCTTAACACTTTCTGGTTTATGTCCCCATCATTTCGTCGCATAACATGTCCATACCACGCTAACCTTTTGCTTCTCAATTTCTCCACCACTGGCGCTACTTTCAAACTTCCTCTAATGTACACATTCTTAACTTTATCCAATCTTGTCACACCACACATCCATCTTAACATACGCATCTTTTCACATGCAACTGTGTGCGATTGTCTGTTACAACTAAAAGTCGAGTAGTGTGCGCACCTCCATATAAGCTCATAGGAATCAAAGCGAGACTAAACAGTTGTGCGATATTTTAGTTTCAGGTGTGCACAGGCTCTTATAGTTGGACAGCTAGTATTATAGATAACGTAACATACCATAATAACAATTGCTGACGTCTACGAAGCCATCCGGGAGACAATTTTTACTACATTTGCAGGCGTATTCTGAAGTTTTATTAAATGCCGACTCTTGGAGTTGGAATCTAAAAATTATAAAAAGCTATGCATTATTAATCGCATTAATAAGATAAAAACAAATAACTAACTCGGTACCTCATTCCGAGGTACCCAGTTAGTAAATTGACTAGCTTTTGCCCGCGACGTCTGCGCGGAATAAAAAAATAACAGTAAGTAGCCTATGTGTTCCGGACTATGCTCTACATCTGTGCCAAATTTCATGGACATCCGTTCAAAGAAACTGGCTTTTATAATATTAAGTCAGAAGTAAGATAGACAACTAACTAACGAACAAACATACAAGAACCTCACCTGTAAAAATTGAACCCATATTCTCCGTTCATCTCATCTACAAAGGAAAATGGATATATTCTGCAGGCCTGCTTCCTGAATATTGGTATTACTGCGTCCTTCGATATCTTGGGGGGAAGCATCAGACCCTCGTAGGCACCTCTGATACGATTACATGGGATGCTGAAATAAATTGAAAAAAACATACTAACATTATAAAAAACAAAATATTTGATTATTTGTTTGCTTAGAATACACTACCCCCAGGTGACGTAGGCAATATTTATCAAGTTTTTCTGCGTTTGCGAAGACAAAATAGTAAAGCTAGTTAATTATATTTACAAAAATAAATTAATAATTTATTTATAATAATTTTAGGATATATTTCGAATTTGTTATACATAAAAATATGGGAAAGAGATGCTAAAAATTTAAAATAAATTTAGCATTCCTCGTAAACAATAATAACACTCATGTCTCTAATCACTATAATGGCTCTAGTCGTGTTGTTTTTATGTCTATGTGTTGTCCAATGTTGAAAGTTGGGCATTCGTATACACAAACTACCAACCTGGTATTAAAATCAGTGTAACCCTGTTCCGCTAGACCTGGGGACTCGTTCCAGGTGTTTAAGGAGAATTTTCTTGATTCATCGCCGATCTCCACTTCAGCTGTGTCTGGGCGTTTCGCGTAGAACTGTAAATAATATTTATAGCTATAAGTACTTATTATAATAGTATAAGACGTAAGATTCTGGATAAATTTATGCAGACGGCATTGATAAAGTTAGGTACATAGTTTGAACTAAAGGCAATATTTTTTGGCATTTATTTTGAATAATTCATACGTTGTTTTCAAGGCAACTTTTAGAAAAAACCAAACAACATTAAGAAAATATCTATTTAAAGCTACAACAAAAAAGATAAGTATAAAATTGCTATCTTTTGTGTATGTTTTATCAGATACATTAATTACATTTACTTCCGAAAACCGTGTCCTCGGTAAATCTCGAAGTACGAATTAAATTCATTTCCTGTGTTAGGAAACATGTTACGTAATGTTCAGACATTTATCATCGCAGGGGTTTATCACGAATATTAATGAGAATATATTCATAACGCCATCCTATCCTTTAGCTAGCTAATAAGTACATTACTGTTTTTAAATTAAGGACTTTATCCAATTCTATGTGCGATTAGCGCACCAAGTTTTTGACCTCGAGATCGATTATCCTTATTTAAAATATATAACAAAAGAACATATACATACACGATCTAAGATTCCTATCTTCTGAAAATCAATCCATCCCGGTAGCAATTTATTAGCAATGGATACGATTGGATCTGTATACCCCCAGAGAAGTTCCTCGGCTGTCATATTCCTGAAGAGAGTGGAACCGAGTGCTGCTATCGAGTAGTAAGCTCCCGCATTGGCGAAGTACCCCAGTCTGTCCGCCATTAGTGTGCTGATAGCCTACAAAACACAAAACATTTCACAAATCAACGTCTCCACCAAGTTTTAAGTCGTGTTTTGTTTGTGCCTGGTTTGCGGTAAGTGAGGATTTGAGTAATGGATAGAGATAGAAATCAGAATGAACTGTCATTACAAAGGTATCTGTTCATATCTGTAGAGATAAGTGACTATCTGGGCTTGAGGCTATACTATTTTACAGGTAATGTTAAAATTGTTTGGTTACACATAATTCATAAATTGAAATAAGAAACAAAACTAGAATAAATGATTATTTGAATTCAGTTTTCATTGTTATTTATTTTCGTTCTTCCATAATGACCAAGGTTACTACTCTTTGGGGAATGACGTTTTTCTTGTAAATATTTATTTCAGAATTAGGTAGTTAATTTATATCGTAACATTCTAATTAATCTGGTATTTCTCTAAGACTAGGAAGTTTAAATTGATTTCTACGTAAACGACCTCGACCCCCAAATAAGACAGCAAAAAAATTTAAATCAACTCCTTTTTAATCTATTGGTAGTCAATAAAATAAATTTATTCAATGAACAAATACATTATTCAAATTAGAACTACAATAGACGTAAGGCACCATCTTATGTTGAGCTGAGAATCAATAAAATAATTTTATTTTATACTATTAACACATATACTAGCTGATGCTAGCGACTTTGTCCATTACTGTACAACACTTGTACAACACTTTTACTTTCTACACAAAAATCCAGCACATAAAACATAAAATCATACCCTGTATGTATTTAACTTGTGATTTCTGCCAATGCGCGCTAAAATATTATTTTGTTGTTTACATGTGTCAAATTCTCAATTGCATATGTCAAAATTATATTGTGAAAATGTATTTTGTATTGGAAAATGAGTTTGTTATAATGTATAAAACATTGTGTACCTACAAAATGTATTAGTTAGTGCCATCTATTTTCAATGGCCACGGAAGATCAGCACATGTGCTGAGTGGCTTTAATTAAATAAATAAAACAAATAAATACTGATTAAAAGAAATTTTCAAACTTCCTGTGTTCTATATTTCATCTAGATGGATTCAGCCGTTCTAAAGTTTCAACTTTACAAACGAAATCGCGGGAAAAAGTCAGTGACCTTATACGGTTACTATATAGAATAAGGAATATTTGAGAATATGTTCAATATTTTTTCCTATATTTTACCTTTGTGAAGTTACCGAGTAAATAAGTGAAGCAAACGTATCCCACAGGAACCGTACAAATATATGGAGAACCGGGATCACAAATGCCTATGTGATTTTCCAGACTATGTTCTACGTCTATGCCTTTCACTGAGATTTTAAAAGCCATTCTGGAGATATCTGAACCATCCAAACTTTCATATTTATCTTTTATTATTTAAACTATTATGCATAACTTAAAATCGAGATAAAAATCTCTTCATAAAAACAGTCCTATTTACATTTTTAATGGTGGCATGTGTTGAACATAAAAATATTTGGTATCATTGGTATGACAAAAAGATTTATGTGTTCTGTCAAGACGTTTAATTTATCGAGATTGCGAATATGTCACTTGTCTCTTGAGAACTTATGTTGATTACACTAACAAGATTAAACTGATTAAAATTATAATAAGTTAACGGAAAACACACGCCAGTAGCTGGGCTTCCAGCATCTGTCACGTGCGATGCTTATACGTATAGCATTGGGCTAGTAGATTGTCAACAAGATCGTATGAGAAGGGACGTGTATGTAAAGTTTTACCTCCCTTGATCTTTGTCTCAAGTTACATACAAGTAGCTGTCACGAAATAAAATATAGCGCCAGCATATTGCCCGTTGCGCCAATGTGCAAAGAAGGCGTGCAGGGAGGATTGGTATCTTGTGACGACAAGAATTACAAGCCAGTAAGTTATAGTTCTCGTGCAGAAGACTTGTAACCGCGACAGCGCGACTGCCACGAGGTTCAAAGTGGTATTTTACGAAACTATGGCAATCTGTGGACCTTGGTTGTTAATCAATGGAAAGGTTGTACTTAAATCCGTGTGGAAATCCGAGCACGATGTGTTACGTTAGCGTCAGGCGTCAGCAATGATCTTGAGCAATCCGTATCATATATTGAATGACAAACAGATCGGAGGAAAAACATTCTAACAACACTAAAAATTGCTTCACGTGGGATATATTAACACTATAAGAGCGTAAACCTTTGAATTAAGAATCGGACAGCTGTTTAGTCTCGCTTTGATTCCTATGAACTTATATGGAGGTTCGCACACTACTTGATTTTTAGTTATGAAACTAAACAGTTGACTTGTCTGCGAAGCAATCGACAATCGCACAACCGTGGCGCGACAATTTAATCAAAGGTGTGCCCTCGTTCTTAGTAATAGAAGAACGATTTAATGATTCTACATACAAGATTTTGTCTCCTCATTACTTAACATAAACCCTTGCTAATGCATTCTTCCTACCGCATGCAGTTAAATAATTTAAATTCATACAAGTTGAATCTGAAACGATGTAACAGAATTGTTAATCATATTAATATTATAAACTAGCTTTCGGCCGCGACTCCGTCCGCGTGGAATTAAAAAAAAACAAAAGTGAGTAGTCTATGAGATCTTCCAGAGTATCTTCTACATCTATTCCAAATTTCGACGAAATCTGTTCAGCCGTTTAGGTTACAAACTCTAAAAAACATCCATCTATCCATCCATCCATCCATCTAAACTTTCGCATTTATTAAATTAGTACGATGTTGTTTGTTAGAGTTTGTAGCCTAACTGCTGAACGGATCTCAATGAAATTTGGCATAGATGTAACAGATTGTCTGGAAGAACACATAGGCTACTTGGTATTGTTTTTTTTAATACCACGCGGACGGAGTCACGGACGAAAGCTAGTCTTTAAATAAACCAGTAGGCATGTATTAACAATTTTAATTTTTGTACCAAACAATATTAATAGCTTAAGGGCTATACAATCACGAAATATATTTAATCATATGAACAAGGTTAGTTTATCGAGGTTTGATGTGTGCTTAGAGAATGCAGACATATGAAGGATATTTTCATATTTAATTGTTAAAAGGTCAAATCATAATGCATTTTAAACACTTCATTATACTGAAGGTATATCTATACTAATATACTAAAGCGTAAACACACACTTCTTTATTGCCTAAGATGTCAGCAATTACAGCATGTTTTTGAATTATTGTCTTTTTAATAAAAAGCCCTACACTTACGTCACGCTTAAGGCTATATGTTTTCACACCGTTAAACTTAGGGTTAAGTATTTTGGATTAAAACCCTGATGTGGGAAAGAGACCATAAGGTGTTGCTAACATCAAGGAAGCATGGTTGCCATGGTTTGACATCATGTCATGTCATTTTTACATTTGCAATTTATAATTCGACAAATGTGAATAATAAAATGAATTTTTTATAGTTTTATACGGATGAAGTCGCATGAGAACAGCTAGTTATTAATAAATTTGGAATTTCCTATTAGTTATTATATTTCATTTGATGTTAATATTAACTCTTTAGTTGTATGAAATGCGTAGTTAATTATATTTAAAAGTTAAGGTTAGGTGTCATTTGCTAGCTTTTGAAATAAACAAAATCATATATCAATCAATCTTTAATTCTATATTGTACGAGTATATAACTAGCTGTTACTCGCGACTTCGATCGCGTGAAATAAAAAGTATAACCTATGCAACTCACAGATAAATTACCTTTCTAATGGAAAAAGAATTATTAAAATCGGCCAAGTAGTTTTTGAGTTATTTTAATACATACGAAAATACAACTCTTTCCTCTTTATAATATTAGTATAGATTTTAGAAGTTAAAATAAAAAACTTAGTACATAACCTATCTCAAGTCTTATACCGAATAATATATTAACTTTTATCTTTATGTCTCTGTTGACGTAAATGTATGAAATCTGTCATTGTACACAATTCCTAGGCAATAACTCCTAAAATTGCTTGGAATTATTGAGAACCTATAAATGCTATTTAACAATTTTATTCATAGATAACATTGTTTTCAAACCGTGCTTATTGATTTTGACAAAAAACTTAAAATAACGAAATAAGGAGTTCTACCCGCACCCAACGTCCCTTTCCCAAAAACATGTTAGGGGGAACGAGAGGGCAGCGCTATGCAAAAAAAAAGACCTTGCTTATTGCGATTTTGGAATTCGCTACAATTTCTAGGAAATATGTCATTACCAGGATATGCGAGTATTTAATAATCTTTAAAAAATTGCCAAAACAGCTTCGAAATTCTATACTTTTCCTAGACAAAGTATACAATTCCTAATTATCATATTCCTGTAACATTTCTATTTATAACAGTTATCAGTTTGTTTTGTATGCTGTGTCATGATCCCAACATGAAACAATTTAACTAAGAACTCGGTGACCGGGTTTATATTACGGAAACATCCAAATTAACTATAACTATTAATGAAAAAGTTTGTTAAAATGTATCTCCAGAAGATCAAGATGTTAGGTAATGAACATAATCTAGAACACATTGGCTACTTAATATTTTTTTTAAATACCCAGATATAATCGCAGGCAAAAGACCTAAAACATTTTTTTAAAGAAATATTAGTAGATTTTTGTTAATGTACTAATACTTCCTTTAACCAATCCAACTAAGCTGTAGGCTTGTGCTAGGATGTGGTTCACGATAATCCTCGAATGGTGGGATTGGAACCCACGACCGCAAGATCGGTAGTCCGTACCCCTAACCAATTGGCGCTCAATATTAAAGAATATGTCAGTGTTTACAAATATAATAAGAGAGACAGTTTCTTTACTTGTAGATATACGCAACGGTTTTAAAATATTGTTTCTATCTATACTATTATAATAAAGCGTAAACAAACACTTCTTTGTCGCCTAAGATCTCAGCAATTACAGCATGTTTTTGAATTTTTTTAAATAAAAAGCCCTACACTTAAGTCACACTTTAGGCTATATATTTCCATGCGATTAAACTTAGGGGGTAAATGTTTTGCATAAAATCCTAACGTGGGAAAAAGACCATAAGTTGCTGCCAACATCAAGAAAGAAAGATATCTAAGGTTTGTCATGTCATGTCATTTTGATATTTGCTATTGATAATTTGACAAATGTAATTTCATGCGAATGAAGTCGCACGGGAACAGCTAGTTATTTATAAACATTTAAAAAATTATGAATGTCTCAAAGTTACGGAAATTACGTAGAGATAATAAAACAGGTTTCTATTACATTATTGATAAGGGTATTGAAACTTTTCTTAACATAAGATAAGAATATTCGAGCAAGATATGGCATATATCTTTATCTATGCGGTTCATGGACTGGTTTGAAGTCCTACTTTTATTATGTTCCTGTTTACCACAAACAGTTTAATAAAACTACACAAGTCAGATAATTTTCATGATATATTTTAATTTCATTATCAACTTAGTTATTTAAAAACATTACTTTTGGCGGTCCTATTAGTTTGTAAATTCTTTGTAACAAATATTTTCTTTACTAACTATAAAAATACATTTGAAAACTACATTAAAACTAGGCAACATATTTGCTAACTTAAATGTGTTACTAATGTGTACAAGTAGCTGAAACTTCAACCGTTATCAGATATGGGCAGTTATAAAACTGCCTTGTTTAATTATAAAACTGCTACTCACAATAAGTGCTATGTTAGGCATAGTCACGTGTACATCTTTGTAGTGTGCGACTGACTCGTGCTGCAAAAACTCCAGGTCGATGTTGGGTCTCATTCGCATCACGCCTGCCTCGTGGTCTACCGTCAAGTTCCTGTTTGTTCGGAACTCTCTGGAAAAAACACACAATATTAATAAAAAAACACGTCTTGTATATAACTCTAACTTGTACTAAAACTCTAATGCATGCGCAGTTCAGATTAATATGAAGGAAATAAAACTCGACGAATAAGCCTCTAAGATTCGTGCTGTCTGGAGAGTTAGTACAAGGAAGGCCGACCCCAAATAAGTGGGAAAAGGCGAAGATAGAAGAAGAAGATGTGCATTTCAGATTATCAAAACCGTAATTTATTAGTATGTAGTACTGTTATATGGAACCCCTACGAACTCTACCACTAAGCAATATTTCAATAAATCAGTGCGGTGATTGCAGTCTTATGTCGTAACATATTGAAATGTATGTTTACAAGGTGAATGACCTGCTCTTAACTTTTTAATTAGAATATTATACGAGTAATGATAACCTCTAATAAGGAACTATGTAATTAGGACAATTACATCGATAAGTTATACTATATACTAATGTTTCTTAATAATATTGTATTGATAAACAAACTATGTAAACTGTAGTACATTAAGAAAACGAGATATACTTTAATTTCGATTATTATAATAATATATAAATATAGAAGCATGTACTTTTTTGATTTTTATTCCCGATCATTTATTTATTTGTAATTTTTAAAGTTGACTTTCATGGTATTCAAGTACCAAAAAAAATATATCACAATACATAAACTCCGCATTAATAAGAAATAATAACGTATATACTTGAGTACTATAATATTTAGTTAGTCATAAAACAATATCTTAATACGGTAATAACGTAAAACGTTTTTGAATATTCATAATTTATCTTCAATTTTTGGACAAAAACTTGACAATCTATTGTTTTGACGAATGCTTCTTGCGAAATGTACGCAATTGGTAGAGGTCACGCCCGGAAGTAATTGTTGAGTACAAAAAATACATCTAGTATATTCTAAAGTAATGGATTTTAAATGAATAGTACCGCTAACAACATAGTAAAACGCTAGAATAATAACTTTCGAACTTGATTTCGATGTTAAAGTACAATCGCGGAAATTTGCGGTGTAGAAAATTTCCTCTTCCTTGCGATTAAAACTCCGCCTCTTCTTAAAAATTTTGCGCGACCACAGCCGCGTACTTGACTTTTATACAGACTATAAACAGATCTAAGATAAAAACTTACTGAAATTTAAATGGTCCGATCTCTTGTAACTTCATTGTCTTATCAATTCCTTTTACGTACTGGTCGACATTCGTATAGTTGAAGACATAAACTTCTGAGAATAACTGGTACGTAGGGTTCTCCCACATCTTGAAGATAAACTTGCCTTCTTGTATATCCAAGTACTGCAAGAGAATAATATAGTAAAATTATATAGTAGCTTTTTCCCGTACTCCGTCCGTGTGTAATTAAAAAAATAAGTAATCTATGTGTTATCCAGAATATTATATTCTACATCTATGCCAAATTTCAGAGATCCGTTTAGTATTTAGGCTACAAACATCCATCTAAACTTTCGCATTTATATTAAAGAAAAGATTACCAGATGTACGAATACATATGTGGTAAATGAACAAATAGTAATCCATACTCTGCTTACCCCTTTAAGATACGAGCGTGTTTATACAAGAAATTCTATGTTATCTACACGATTTGGAATTACCAACAACTTCTGTTTATGTATTTAAATTGTTTATTGTGAGATAATGATTATGACAGCAGTTCGCTTCATAAATCGTGTTTTTTTAAAGTTACGTTAATATAAAATTTGCGTGTTCGTACATGAACATTCAAAAAACATTGTACATTTATATCAAGGTACCAGTTATTACGGATTAAAATAATAACATGTTATGTGCCATAGTTATTATTAGTTGCATTATACCAATTTGTATTTTTTATGTTTCATGAGAAAACTAATTTTAGAACCTTGAGTAATCTGATTTTTCAACTCGGTGTCGCCCTTGACATTCGAAATTTAAAAAAACTATAGTTAATATCCTATGCACTACAAGCCTATCTATAAATATTCCAAATTCCACCCTGATCAAGTCAGACACGTTACAAAACAACATACATCCATCACAACTTTTGCCTCTATCTGAATTTTATAATATCGGAGTGTCTATATGGAATATTAAAAAAAAATCATATTTGGTGAGTGATCAAAAGGTGACAAACGAACAAGCAGTCTTGGGACATTTTTAGTATAGTTTATGTGTACGGGAGTCTTTTGTTATTCTGCGATAAAACCGCGTGCTACACCTAGTATTCATTAATTTCAATTCATCGTGTACAATTCTAACACAGCAAAACAACTTAAAGCTGCATAGTAAATATTAAATAAAAACAATAAAGGCAAAGGTCGATAACCTCGGTAAATAATTAAGTTATCGCTAAGTTACAAGGTTTACAAACAAATAAACAACAAAGGCGCAAAGCGTTTAACTATAAATACCAAATGAGATACTCAAAGTAATTAATAACTTTATCTTTGCTTTTAATTTATTGAAATAACTTTGTTATACTGATAAAAAATAATTTTATTCAAGTCATTCTACACTCCAAAAAACGTTTGAATAATTTGTATGATGTTCATTGACGGCTTAATTTGATTAATTGAATCATACGTTCCAAAAATAGCAGGTAAAATGGTAATGTATTGCATTTATAAGAAGTATTGGTTAATTCGTATTGACCACGTGTAGAGGTCAGTGAACGCACGAGTAGGTCAGGGTCACGAGAGTTGTACGGTGAGAAATTATTTAAGCTTTTATAATTATATTCAATCAATTGTTATATTAAAATGAAGCGGAAATTCTAGAGAACATGATTTAAAAAAAACCTTGTATTCATCAGCCAGTCTTTAAATATGTAAAGAATTTAATCTATCTGGTCTTATGAAATTAATTGTAATTGTGTTTGAAAAAGACTAGATGTCGCTAGTTACAATAGTTGTAATAATTAGTGAGTAAATGAAATTATTAAAATAAATACTTTAAAAAAGTATGGATTTTTAAATCGCATTTAAATGTATTTTACAGAAAAGCATAAATTAAAATCGAATATAATAAGTTATTGTGAAGCTGTGATATTTAATCTTTATTTTAACTGCTAAATTTCCAAGAATATATATAAAATTTAATACAGCTTTTAAGAATTGTTATGACAGTCTAGGCATAAAAAGCAAGGATATCTATTGTTTTGAAGCAATTATAAGACATAACTAACAATTGTCTTCAACATTGAATGTGTTTGAACTTCATGCAATATTTACTTTACTAATAACACTGGCATGATTTGTGCGTTAACTGGCTGAATATACAGTTTCCTGTTCGTCTACATAATGAAGATTAAAAAAAAAATTCCCCGAATTTAAGTACAAGAATATCAAAAAAAACATTGAAGAATTAGTTAGTTGGAAGTGACATCGTTTGGTTTATGGTATTTCCCGATATCTATGGTAAATAACCTTAGGAAAGATTGATGTAGTATGCTGTCAACTTTAACTAAAATATGTTTTTTCAACAATACTATTGTATAGTGTAAACGCATTGCCTTCAAACGGATAACTGACTCATGCTTGTGTGTCAAAGGATACAAAATTTTACACCACGCCACATTAACCATATTTTTATAAGAGATGACCATAAACTTCAGCAATACCAGAGGAAATACACATGTGTTGCCAGCTGTGGCAGTTTGGAAATACCGCCGAAACAGACCATTCCACAACGCGACTTTACGAAGCAGAAAGTGTCGCCGTTAAGAATTGCCAGCCATCGAGTTGATTTGTATGGTATCTGGCTGTATATTGGTCTATTTGTTCAATAGCTTTTGTAGTTATATAAGTTCAGATTATTTAATTTAATGACCTATATACTTATGAATAGTGACTTGCAAATTAAATAAGAGAAGACTAGTCATTCATGTTCACGCAAATGTTGCCGAATTAATTGACCATTTAAACGGCGAGATAACATCAAGACCAACATACATTTTAGTTACTATGTTTAAGTTGAACGATGCCGATGACGCGTGAACTTGATAATAAATAACTTTATGCTAATTAACAGAATAACAAGTTACATTTTTACTAACATTTTTTATGTTGAATCTTACTTGATTTTTAGTCGTGAAATTCCATAGTCAGGATACTTGTAATAAAATATATTTGTGTCTGTTCTATTTAAAGTTAGAGAGAGATAGTTATATGTTTCAACAATGGAAACACAATTTATCAAACAGCATCAATAGAATAGACATCAACGCGCTTAACTTAGATTTATAACTTGTTGAAAGTGTCGATTTGATTTATGTTAAAATAAAAATTGTATAACAAAAACATCATTCGTTTGATGTTTTATCTTTTAAAGCAATTTAGTTGCAAGCTTCAACATCTTACATATCTCTTTAGGCGTTAGTTAAACAAATTTAAATAAATTCAGCTCTAATCTCAATGTTAACTTCAAATAATGACTTTTTAAACTATCGTCTAACAATCGAAATAATTAGATAATTAACAACATTAAGCGCAAATAAGTTAGATTTGGTAGATAAGTTAGACTGGTATGCAAATAATTTAATGACATGGCAAAATATATTAACTCGTAATCCAAACGAGTATAGAACTTAGTAACATTGTTAACAAAACTTGTATAAGTACCCCTAAATTAATTAGTCAATTACGAGAGGATCTGCAAATCCTTTGCCAGTCTTTCGTATATAACAAACGTACACTAAGCGAATAACTTAATTAACCTTTAATTGACTCTGCGTAATGCAGTAAATTACGTAAAACGATTATCGAGAGACGGTTTTAAAGACTGTCGTAGTTAAAATATGTTACGCAATATTGATTTATAGCTAATACAACTTCCGTATAACGATTTTATTATTGTTTATAAGTAATATTGGTTTGAAAATTATGGTATTAGTACGGTCCTATAAAATAATTTTGCGTCTATAATAACATAGATATTGGGTTTATAAATATAAGTAAAACCAGATATAGTTTTTAATACTTACCCAATTTGTAAAAATCTTAACTGGGTCGATAATAACAGAAACCATTGCTAATATAGCCAGCAATGTTCCATATACTACTTTGATCACAGACTCTGCAACAAAACATAAATATTACTAGATATTTAAGTATTTTAATATTCATTTTACTATAGTACATCTATCTAGAAGCAATACGGAAAGTCGTTTAACTTAAAAACGACAGTGAAGATGACAATCTATCTCATTCTATCTTATACATGTGGTAATGTCTCTCTCTCACTTTTGACATCGCTTCTCGTTGGACGTACAGTTACGGCAATCCGCGGTATTTCACTTACAGAAATATTGCCTTATTCCTTGCAAGGCAAACTCCGCTTCTTACAATTAACCAATTATGTGTGTTACGCAAAGAACGAATTGGATGCACGCAGTTAGTCATGTGGCACTGACATTTAAATGCTGCGTTCTTTTGAAAAAAGTTTAAAGGGCTGTCGCTTTTGAGATGGAACACCGCTAGATTTCGCGACTGTACTTGAGATATTCTCGATTTTAATTTAATCGTAATGGATTGTATGTGCTCTATGGATTGTTTAGAAGAAGGTAAAGAAGTTCTTACGTCTCTTCTGTACAGTGAAGTTCTGTATCTTCATAATAGAGATCCGGCCCTTGCTCGGCACCTGCTGTAACGTCTTCTTCGCTCCCACCACCATCTTTCATTTATCTGAAACGAAAATTATGTTAAAACTAAAAATAATTGACTCAAAATGTAACTAATACAAATCTTAAAACATGACATACTCGCTTTTCCACGTGGAATTAAAAAATCAAAAGTAAGTAGCCTATATGTTTTTCTATCCTCTACATCTATGCCAAATTTCATCGAGATCCGATCAGCAGTTTAGGCTACAAACTATAACAAAGATCTATGCAACTAAACTTTCGCAATTATGATATTACTAAGATTGTAGTTTTTTCAATTATGTGTCGAAATTAATTTCCTTTTTTGAATCCAGTAAAAACATACGATGTTTGATGAAGTATGGTATATTGTTGACGCAATAGACATCTACGGTTATTTTATATTTATAATCTGTGAATATGTAAATTATTTTTTCTTCAAAGACGTATCTAATTAGCAAGCTTCTGTAAGAATAATGTAGTTAAGCGACTCCATACATTAAATATTAACTTGTTTTTTTCGATCACAGTAAAATGTGACATTTTAAGCAACGCGTTCCTCTGAATTATTTGGTTATTAAACTTGTATAACTAAGTTACAGCTTATAGGCGTTATTATAACTTAATATTCAAGTTCAAGTTATTCATGATTACTATTAAAATCCATAATTTATTAGTTCTTGTTTAATTTATTTTCTACAAATTTATTTTAAAAAGTAATTTGTAATAATTTATGAAATTATTTTACATAGCATAAATCATGACAGGAAAACTATCGATTACAGATTATATTAATGCATTCTATGAAATATATTTATATATAACTAATGTGTTTATAAAAGTGGTAGATAAAATAACCTATAAATCATGTAGCGTGCAACAAACGTCAGCGTTTACTATGACTATTTCCCGTCCCTCTTTAATACTCAAATAAGAAAGAAACAGCAATATATTTGTACAGAATTTGTACACTGGAACTCTACAAAAAGAGGCGTGGTCTGAGTTTGATAGTTGTGACGCAAATAACGCTATCAAATCATTTTAGATTTCGCTAATTGTCTTCGCATTATAAAATAACTGCTGTTTACGTGTTTGAAGTAATACTTACCATATTTATGTTAATTGCGTTTGTCGGTATATGAGTAGAATGGGTATAGTTCGGCTAAATTGATTTTTTTTATATAGCCTTAGATTTAAAACCAAACTGTAGATTCTATTATACAGTTATCTGTACAAAGTAATTTAAGTAACTCAACTAAATTATGCATACTACCGTCCTTATGTCAAAAAGTTTTCAAAACTTACGTCAATGACCTCTACAAATAGACAGGCTACAAAGTAACGTGTCTATTTGATGTCATCGTTGCTAACGATGGTGTGGATGCGAAATGATAGAGATAGAACTGTCACTAACGTCATTTAGTTTAAGATGGAACGAAAAGCTGTCATTACTAAACAACCTATCCATTATTAGAGATCAGTGCTTATCGTACTGTGTTGTCATATTATTTTCTTTTTCCTGTCTTCTGTGCCTTTTACATATTTTCTGACACAATTAACCATGATATGGGCCTCTTTTACAGGATCAAATATTTTTGTTTGACTATAAGTGTAACAAGGTGACAATTTGTATAACACATATTGCTGTCCTGCTCATTCACTTAGAGGAGACAGAGATAATAACATGGTTTTAGTTCACACACGTGGATGCAGGCTAAGTTCTAATTATCTCGTTTGATCTTTGAGTGCAGTGATTTAATATATCACACAATAATTATCAGTAATTTACTTTATGAAACACAGATAACTTTATACTTATAAAGTACAAAGTTGTTAGTTTCATTATTAAGTTCGCACGTGGTAATCGACAATCGCATTTACTTAGTTACATAAAAGAATAGTAACTGTTAATTATATCTGAACAAATGAGTTTTAAAAGAATTATTTAAAATAACCTAATCATATCTGAAACAATAAGGCACTGTCATAAAAAATGGCATACAGAAAAATAACTTGAAAACAGCTACAATACGAAGTCTCTTCAATACGATGGGCGGCGCTAGTGTGCTTGCATGATTTAGTTTGACTTATAAGCCAACTTGTCAGACAACTATGTCTCACTTACAAATAAACGCGGTATAAAGTCAAACTTAGGAATAAACTGAGTATAAGCAAATGTTACAAATATTTAGTTTTGATTTAAACGCTAGATATAATGATAGAAATCTGTAAAAAAAAGTTTTGAGGTTATAAATTTAAGTGTTGTCAGTATTGAGCATTTTGCATATTAATGTGGTTTATAATATTTAAATTTGGATTGACATAATTGGTATATAAATTGGTCTAAATATGTCAATTAAATTAATGAAAAAAAAAAACAAACCAGTTATCGTACGTCAGAGTTACAGAGAGAGACGTCTTTATAAGTTTACCGTGGTCTTCCACTGCCTAAACAAATGTCAACTATTTACAAGTATAAGTGTTTTTGAAACCGAAAGCGTATACAAGTTTGTGAAGCTGTGTAGCTGACTGTATAAACAACTATATCGCTCATTCGCTTTGTTGGAATAAAGACAGCAATATGATTTTCTGTACACATTTTCAATGGAAACAGACGATTATATCATAAACATGGAAAAGTACCAATTTAAATCTAAAAAGTCCAAATTTTGTAGTAAAAAACATTAGCTCGTATTTCTTCATAAGCATATTTTTTATACACATATTTGTATATTCACATTTTCAAACGCGTCAAACCGGCTCAAATGGCTGACAGTCAATTATTTTCGAATTTGACATTTTTTCTAACAAGTAATATCATCGGCGTATTAGAACTGAAGCAAAAACAGCGGAAACCTGTATTAAAATACACTAAGCGAAGCTTGTAAATGATACTCGCTTAAGAAACGACGTGCAGAATTTCAATTGTTTTTGCCGCTAAATCACTTGCGAAAAAAAATCGAGCCTCTTTACTATTCGCAGTACATAAATATCGTAAAATAATTGAAGAGCTATATAAAGTACTAGCTTTCGGCCGCGACACCATCAGCATGGATTAAAAAAAACAAAAGGGAGTAGTCTATGCATTCTTCCGGACTGTCTTCTTTGTCTATGCCAAATTTTTTCGAGAACCATTCAGCTGTTTAGGCTACAAACTCTAACAAACTTTCGCATTTATAGTATTAGTAAAATTAATATTAACAAAAGATAAAGACAGTAAATATAGATGTAGTCCAATTTACCAATATTTGTACAAAAATTGTACAATTCGTAAATATAAACACAATTATGAATCCAAATTCAACCCTGAAATTACAAATTTAATGATGAAACAGTGTTAAATTAAGCATATTTTTGCAATCACCGACTTTTCGTGAATACTGAAACGATATTTAAATATGTAAGCGTCTTGAATTGTAAATCCACGCTTAAACTACAAATTCCTTTCAAATGAATTCTATCACATTGTAAGCGGCGATTACAAACCGAAGTGTTGTTCGTTTCAATATTTGGCCGTTAGACTTTATTATACTCTGACGTCACCAAATCTGTTTAGATAACTATTACAGTAGTGTTTGAGTTAATTTATTAGTTTGCTTGCTTGTACAGCTTTTAGTATGTTAGTATGTAAGCAGAGCCAACAATATAAAACTGAATCCAAGGCCTATTGAGTCCTATGACATAATTGTTTATAATGAATTTATTTTAGTTACAAAAGGCATTTAATTTTATTAAATTGCGGTTTGTTTTTAACGAATTTCCTGTACGTGAATATAAATGAATAAAACTATTAAGAGATAATTTAATTTGTCCGATCTGTCTGAGTGATGTGCCGATACAATAGACTTATAAATAATTATCGATGCTAAATCGACATTGATGCCTTACGACTCGTATAAAAAAATGACAGCTTCAATATATTTGAAGGAACATCAGATTATTAAATATACGTTATTGCAGTTACTAATTTTTATTTAATTATTTTTTCCATATCTTACAATAGCTAGCTTAAAACCTTCGACAATTATACAAGTATTACTCGGCGTAAAAATAAGAATCATTTTGCTTCTTTTGTAGTTGTAGTTTTTCTGTACAAAGCTACATATCTGCTATCTGTTAAATCTCTTGGTAAATTAAAATTCAAAAACCGTAATCCATTTCGCGTTCAAGTTACGATAAAAATGTTCGTTCACAAATTCCACGGTCGTGCGTGGCACATCACTATTCCACATCTTATTCATGCAAATCAATCAATTCGTAAGCATTTTGCGCTTCTTAAATAGTTATGAATATATCGTTTCGTAGAAAATATAATTTACAAACGGAAGGAAATAATATCAGCATGTTTATATGCTAAAAATTGAAAATTTTCCATGTTCCGTACTCAAGGTGAAGTTATAGGCCAAATCGAACAAATACCCGTAGGCTATATTTGCGTTTATTGATCTTGATAGAAAATAAATAGATTTATAATGCGACATTTTACTTTGACAACTATTTGTACAGCAGAAGTAAAATTGTTCTATTCATAATTCATAACATGAGCTTAGTGTCGTTAGCATAAAAATCTGACATTTTGTCTAGATATATTACTGCGGAAGTTAGGAATTTTCGTATTTGGTAATAAAACTGCCATCTAAATTATGTCCAACATAAAAACTAAAACGGAAGGAAGTAAATCAAAACAACGGTCCTAGACACGTCTGATGACTAATCGATAAAGGTCGCTGACAATGTCACATATGTTTAAAAAACTTTCCTTGTTTAAAACCCAACTAGTATTTAGTAAATAATATGTGATCTTGAACTCGACGGAGAAATAAACAGTAAGGAAAACCTAAGGTATTGGTTTTTCACACACATTAAAACAATGGTTCTCGCTTAGTTCCGAATGTTGACTGCAAAATAAATATTTATGTTTTATTTTTTATGTTTTTGAAAAATGTTTTGAGGTTAGAGTGCTCGTCTACGATTTTTTAATTACAAAAATAGGTGATAATATAAAAGAACCACATTTTAATTTGTATTACTAGTATATTACCT